AGTTAAACAAAATAATATTTATTGACAAAGTCAAACAAAAATCAAGTAATGAATGGTGCTAGTGCTAGGAGAGATCAGGCAGGAATCAGACGGGAAACAGGGTCCAGAAATTAGTCCTCAGATCCTAAGCACACAGACAGAACAGCACACCATAAGCACACATAACGAACTGACAAAGACACACAGAAAACGTGGCCCATATATAGACCCGAATATGAGCCTCAGCTGGCGAGCTCATCAAGCCAGCTGAGTGCCGTCATCACACGTGATCAAAACAAATACATGAGGAGAACAAAAACAAACCAACGTGATCAAACAGACACTCCGGAAAAGCGCACAAACCTGCAACCGTGACATTACCCCTCTCTCAAGAGCACCTCCTGGTAATCATCGATAAGAGAGTGATCCAATATGTCCTTTGCAGGCACCCAAGTTCTCTCCACCGCACCGTAACCTTCCCAGTCCACCAAGAACTGAAATCCTCGCCCCCTCCGTCTCGAGTCCATAATGCGCTTAACCGAATAAACGGTCTCCCCATCTACGAGACGCGGCGGGGGGGGGGGGGGGGGGGGGGGGGGGGGGGGGGGTTGGGGGCGAGGTGAACCGGAGTGGGCGGGTTAATCGCCGTATGAAAAACAGGCTTTAATTTAGAAACGTGAAACACGGGATGTATTCTACTGTACGCTGGAGGAAGTTTAAGGCGGACTGCCACCGGACTAATGATCTTGATGACAGTGAATGGGCCAATAAATTTAGGTGCAAGTTTATTACATACGGAACGCAAGGGAATATTCTTAGTTGAAAGCCACACTTTTTGACCGGCGACGTAAACGGGAGGCTTCGACCGGTGGCGATCGGCTTTAGCCTTGGTGCGCGCACCCACTTGGAGGAGGGTCTGTCTGGCCCTGTTGCAAGTGCGTCGACACCTCTGGACAAAGGCGTGGGCAGAGGGAACCGCGACTTCGGATTCCAGACCGGGAAAAGCTGGTGGCTGGTAACCTAAGCTACACTGAAACGGAGAAAGGTCCGTAGCCGATACTGGTAATGAATTGTGTGCGTACTCCACCCATGGGAGCTGCTGACTCCAAGAGGAGGGATTCTGGGAAACACAACAACGTAACATGCGCTCGAGATGTTGATTGGCTCTTTCGGTTTGTCCGTTACTCTGAGGATGAAAACCAGAAGAAAGACTTACAGTCGCTCCCAATAAATGACAGAATTCTCTCCAAAATTTAGAGACAAATTGAGGCCCCCTGTCAGAAACCACATCCGTCGGGAGGCCATGAATGCGAAAGACGTGATTAATGACAGCATCCGCTGTCTCTCTGGCTGAGGGTAATTTGGGCAGAGGAATAAAATGAGTAGCCTTCGAGAACCGGTCCACAACGGTCAAAACAGCCGTATTGCCACCAGATGGCGGGAGACCGGTAACGAAATCTAGCGAAATGTGCGACCAGGGTCTCGAAGGCACTGACAGCGGCTGAAGGAGTCCAGCAGGGGGGCGATTAGAAGTCTTAGAAACAGCACAAACAGAACAGGCTAAAACAAACTCGCGTATGTCCCGTGCCATAGCTGGCCACCAGAATCGCTGTTTAACTAAGAATAATGTACGACTCACCCCTGGATGACAAGCCACTTTGGAGGAATGTCCCCATCGAATGACGTCAGACCGAATCCCCTCCGGCACAAACAATCTACTAGGTGGGCATCCAACCGGGGGCGTTACCCCGTCCAGGGCTGTGCGAACCCTGCTCTCGATCTCCCATGTCACTGCAGAAATACAAATCCTCTGGGGAATGATGGGCTCAAGAGACGTATTGCGCTCGGAAGAATCAAAAAGATGGGATAACGTGTCAGGTTTGATGTTTTTGGAACCCGGCCGATAAGAGATGGTAAAGTCGAAACGTCCGAAAAATAATGCCCACCGAGCCTGCCTGGAGCTGAGTCGTTTGGCGGACCTGATGTATTCGAGGTTCTTATGATCGGTCCAAATGATAAAGGGAACCCCCGAGCCCTCCAACCAATGACGCCACTCCTCCAAAGCGAGTTTGACCGCCACCAACTCCCTATTACCAATGTCGTAGTTTCGTTCTGCGGGAGATAATCGATGAGAGAAAAACGCACATGGATGAATTCTGTCATCCGAGGCGGCGTGCTGGGACAGGATAGCGCCCACCCCCACCTCTGACGCGTCAACCTCCACCACAGACTTGCCGGGAGGGATCAGGTGTCACTAGAATGGGAACTGAAACAAAGCGGTTCTTCAGATTGGAGAATGCAGCCTGTGCTACACTCGACCACCTGAAGGGAGTTTTGGAGGAGGTTAAGGACGTCAGAGGAGCGGCGAGCTGGCTGAAATTGCGAATAAAATGCCGGTAAAAATTGGCGAAGCCCAGAAATCTCTGCAGGGCCTTACGAGACTCGAGACGGAATTGGCCAATTTACCACAGCCTGAACCTTCTCTGGATCCATGCGCACCCCCTCGACTGACACAATGTGTCCTAGAAAGGGAACAGACTGTGCATGGAACACGCATTTCTCCGCCTTGACAAAAGCCCATTCTCTAGCAGCCGCTGAAGCACTCGCCTGACGTGCTGCACATGTTTCTGGAGAGAACGAGAAAAAATCAGAATGTCATCCAGGTAGAAATAAATAAACTGATCTATCATGTCTCGCAACACGTCATTTACGAGTGCTTGGTAAACCGCAGGAGCATTATAAAGCCAGAAAGGAAGTACACAATATTCAAAATGCCCCCTAGGGGTAAGGAAGGCGGTTTTCCACTCATGGCCCTGCTTCATGCGAACTAAATGATATGCGTTGCAGAGATCTAATTTCGTGAAAAACGACGCCAGTTGCAGACGTTCGAACGCTGAAGACATCAGCGGCAAAGGATACGTTTTCTTCACCGTGATGCTGTTTAGCCCTCGATAGTCAATGCAGGGTCTAAGAGACCCATCCTTCTTTTTCACGAAAAAGAACCCCGCCCCCACCGGTGAAGAAGAGGGCCGTATGATCTTGGCCGCTAGAGAATCAGAAATATACTTCTCCATGGCCTCCCTCTCAGGAATAGAAAGTGAGTATAACTTGCCTTTAGGCGGAGAGGTACCTGGCAATAAATCTATTGCACAGTCATAGGGAAGATGAGGAGGCAGAGAAGCAGCTTGAGACTTACTGAACACTCCCTTCAGGTCGTGGTACTCACTGGGCACGTTTGACAGGTCCATGCGCTCCTCCTGAAACACAGAACAAGAAACAGCAGAACGAGCAGACGAAAGACAGGACTGATGACAGTTCTCACTCCACGAAAATATAGTATTAAGACCCCAGTTAATATGAGGCTTATGGAGAATCAACCAAGGATGACCTAAAACCACCGGTGTGTTGGAACAGTCTGTTAAAAAAATGAAATGTTTTCAACATGATTTCCAGACGTGATCAGTTTTATGGGTTTAGTGGAGTGAGTGATGGTGGGAAGGGAAAGTCCGCTGAGTGTGTGTACTGCAATGGGTTGCGACAGTGCTATGACCAGAAGTTTAAAACTGAAAGTGAAACTAGAGTCAATGAAGTTTCCCTCCGCCCCGGAATCGACGAGCCCCTGTGTCTCTTGAGTTCCGGAACCCCATGATAAAGTGACGGGCAGTAATGTAGCAGACGTAGAGGATTTGTCGGGATCTGCCCAACTGCATCGGTTCCGGGTCAACGCTCCCAACTTCCGGTGCCATCGCCAAGACCGGCGAGTCAGGAACAGGATCCGGAAACCTGTTTTGCCGCATGCGACTCTCACGGCGAAGCAGTCTGGAGTCCACCCGGATGGCCAAATCCACCAGCTCGTCGAGAGTTTTGGGAAGATCTAGGGAGTAGATCTCGTCCTGAAGACGATCAGAAAGGCCATGAAGGAACATGTCCCATTGAGCCTCCGCGTTCCAGCCGGATTCAGCAGCCAAAGTGCAGAACTCAATAGAATAGTCCGCCACGCTCCGATTCCCCTGGCGGAGCTCAGCGAGGACTTGGGCGGCCTCTCTCCCAGAGGCGGCCCGATCAAAGACCTTTTTGAGTTTCTTAGAGAACAGGTCGAAGGAGGAACAACATGGTAATTTCTTCTCCCATGCTGTGGTTCCCCATTGAGCCGCCCTTCCCGAAAGGAGGGTGATAACGAACGCCACCTTGGACTGCTTTGAAGAAAACAAAGACGGCTGCAGGGAGAAGTACAGGGAGCATTTGGACAAGAAGGACCGGCATAAGTGAGGCTCCCCAGCATAGCAGGTCGGCGGAGGAAGGCAAGGCTCAACTGAGCGACCAACGGTAACGTTAGCACTGGCAGTCACCGGCGCTGGCATCACCTCTGGAACTGGTGCAGGCTCCGCTTGTGCTGCTCCAGAAACCAGCTGTTGGACCTGAGTAGTCAGTAATGACACCTGACCAACCAAGGCCTGGATAGCCTGTGCAGTCGTGGCCAAAGCCTCATCCTGGCGATCGATCCTGGCGTTGCTAGTTGTAAGGAACTCCAATATCTGTGATGCACTCGCTAGATCCATGGTAAAGGTCAGTTCGTTTTGTCACACTCAAATAAATGGTCAGATAGATCCAATGTGTGAGTGAACAAAAAGTATTTATTTGACACAGTCAAACTCAAAAACAGGTGCAACAAATGAGTGCTGTGCTAGGGCAAGGAGAACAGGGCAGGGATCAAACAGGAAAACAGGCTCTAGAAGAAACTCCTCACGGTCCTGAGCACAGACAGAATAGCACACATAAGCACACGTAACGAACTGACAATGAACACATAACACGTAGCACTTATATAGGCACGATAATGTGAATCAGCTGGCGAACAATCAATCCAACGGAGTGCCGTCATGCCACGTGACCAAAACAATTACACGTGGGCCACAAAAACAAAACAAACCCACATGATCACACAGACATTCCGGAAGAGCGCACAAACCTGCAACTAAGATAACCTTTTTGAATGGTTTTTCTCTGGTGTGGATCTTCATGTGACTATAAAGCCCGGAAGATTTGCTGAAACTCTTCCCACACTGAGCGCATGTGTATGGTTTTTCTCCAGTGTGGATCCTCATGTGTTTTTTAAGGTATGATGCATCGCAGAAACTCTTCCCACAATGAGTGCAAGTGAATGGTTTTTCTCCAGTGTGGATCATCATGTGTCTATAAAGCGACAATGATTTGCTATAACTCTTCCCACACTGAGGGCATGTTAATGGTTTCTCTCCAGTGTGGATCCTCATGTGTAGATTAAGGTATGATGAGTGGCTGAAACACTTCCCACAATGAGTGCATGTGAATGGTTTCTCTCCAGTGTGAATCCTCATGTGATTCTTTAGCTTGCTTTTGCTTGCCAAACTCTTTCCACACTGAGTGCAGGTTAAACAACTCTTGTCTCTCACTTTTAAAATACCATCAGTCTCTAAATGAGTTTTGTCCTCAATTTTGACATGATGTTCCTCCTCTTTACTCTCCTCGTAGTCTTTAATTAGGTCTGAAATAGAAATAAGTTTACTTTTTAGTAAATCATTAAAACTCAGTGAAAAGGAAGTGAAAACATTGGCTACACAAATCTTGTGACAAGCTGCTTCTTTGAAAGTACTTGATTGTGTGACATTGACAGTGAAAAGTTTTATAGACAATTATGCTGACTTTCTAGATATTTCATATAATAGATATTGTTGTGGCTAGGTCAAACAATTATGCTAAATGTTCAAATAATTCTAGTCAATCAGTACTAACAGTTAATGTTGCTCAAGGCTCATGTTCTTAAAGGGTGTTGAAGAGGCCAGAGTCAGATGGAAGCCGTGTTCTGGATGGTAAGTGTCACAAACACAATATAATTCTGTCATACAGTGGTGGAAATATGTTGAACAAACTATGAAAGTTTTTTGATGTTAACAATTTTTCTTGTAGATAATAATGTAAAGAGAAAATAACCTTTTTTCAAAGCTTAAAATTGTAATAATCTTTAACCAATATATCTGTGTTTGCAGCAAATTACTTTTTAAAATTATGTTAATTTAAATATCACAGCCTATCCTGTAAACATAATTATAATTAAATGTCTTTTACTGATTTACAGTGGGATGAAATGGAAAGACTCCTGGGAACCATTAAATCACTTTTTGTAAAATACAGTGGGTTATAAAAAAGGAATGCTTTTAAAAAAAGATTTGTCTACTGCTGTTGTTGCTATTTTCGGTGCATGTCTTGTTTTTGTTTGTTGTTTTAAATCTACTTTAACTCAGCACATGTTTAAACCCACATTTTGACTTATTTTGTTTTATTTTTATTTTTTGAATTGTATTATAATACATTTTTCTGTTAACCTAGAGTAAAGACTTCCACGCACAAAGATAACCACTTACAGTATTTTCATCTACGTCATATCTGCAGCCACTAAATCACTCGGCAAAATTGTTTGAATGTTTGTATTTGAAAAAACTAATATATATATATATATATATATATATATATATATATATATATATATATATATATATATTAATGATTTAAATGTAATAAATGCATTTCTGGTCCTTAAGGAGTTTTATGGCTCACATCAGAGCCATTAAAGTGTGCATTTGCAGCATAGATACAGACAAAAGTGTTATTTTTTTTTCAAATGTTTGTACCACAGAACACAAACTAACACATTTATACATTTTCACTCTGCAATTTATAGTAAGCTATGTGTAGGCACAGTATAACACAAGGCAAAACTATTTATTTAAAAGACATTTGTGAGAAGTGTACTAATTAATGTAGAAATAAGTGCAGAACACACACACACACAGTGCTCAGCGGAAATGAATATACCCTCTCAGAGATTTATTCTTTAAATTAATTCCTTTTATGGAGTGCTATACAAAAAGGTATTTCTGTATATACATTAAAGTTACATATACATTACACCAAAGTAAAAACTGAAACAAATGTAAGAAAAAGATTGATCCCCCTTTTTATTAAGTGCTTTAACTAATTTATTTCAATATAGTTACTGTGTATATTGTGACACATAATACAATTTAGTGAATATTACTTTTTACATTGCACTTTTGATTGGTTAATCGAATTAAACTTTAATTACACCTTTATCCACCCCTAAACCTATCCATACCCCCAAACCTGTCTCCAAACCTTAGCTGTATTTCACCTTCAGAGTATCAGAATTGTTCTAAAAGACATTATGAATACCGTAAGTACAATGTATTTACTTTTTTGATATATAGATATCAAAACATTTTGATACATTAATACCAGTGTGTATGGGAGCGCTATTTCTATGCTGGTACATGTGTCAACACCATACCGGAAACCATCCCATGTGTTTCTTAAGCTGCCCCGAATGAGTGAATCTCTAGGGTTGGGTATCGTTTGGTTTTTCGATACCGGTGCTAAATTGCTACTTTTAAAACGATACTGGTGCCAAAACGGTGCCTGAATCGACACTTTTTAGCCACAAAATGATGGTGGACGACTCTTCAAAAATATTTTATTTGACAAATTATTTTTAAAAAATTATTTTAATAGAACAATATAATTACAGTTTAAAGTAAACATCAATTCATATTGTATTACATTAATACATTTCCTTTGATCATTTGTTGGTTAGCATGAATTTAAAATTTGCATTATGAAATTACATTAGCTTACTATTAACCTGTGGGGGGCGGGCAGGGGCCACATACTTTTAGGAGCACATTTAAACATATATATCACAAAATACTTAAAACATTATTGGAAGTCATTTATTTTCATGCATCACTCTGCAGTCTTCATAAACAAGATAATTAAATAACTTACTCAAAATAATCTTCCTTGTTCATTTATTTGACAAGCAACGTTGTACTGATGAAGGAGAACACATTTCTAACATTCAAGTACATCATGGTACATTGCTGCACCTGTAAACTTTAACAGGCCTACAGTTGAAGTTGTTTTATTTTGCTCTCCCATTCATTTAAAATATTCTTTCTGAAAACTTTTACAGTGTTTCCTAAAACATAATTATTCTGGAGTCAAAATAAGTCCTATTTCTTATTGTTTATTTCATGAATAAAAGCTGACTGTTTTTAAATTCAAGACTGCATTTCCTAATGTTAAACTATGTACACTAGATTTCTGATTAATAATGGTCTCTGCATAGCAGAGGACTTCCTATATTAAGAGTTAAAATCGCTATTGAAAACAGAAGTCTAATATCATCAACAGTGGACATTTTGATAGTGTTTCACAACATCAACATAACTGAAGTTTAATCTTTTTATTCCCTGTGTCAATTTGGGCATCAACTTCTGACGAGTGCGGGGAGCTGATGCGTGCAGCGCCGTCACAGAGATAGCATAGTGCCAAGAAAACAGAGGGAGCGAGCATAAGCGAGTGCCGGAGGGTGCTAAAGCACGCGAGAGAGGCTCTGCCTTTGAGCCCCCAAATGTGTCATTAAGTTTGACATGTTTCCCCCTTACACACACTTTTGTAAAGACAGTTGCTGTGTAAGAATCCTTGCTTGTAAAATACGCTTTAGAATGCTTGGTTTAAGCAAATTGGATGAACGTGATCATGCATGTTGATCTGAAGAGTGTCGCTCTCGCTCACCGAAAACCACTGGTTCCAGGCTGAATGCTCTGTACTCTGCACGTTGCGTGCGTCTGTTCCCTAGCGACAATAACAATCGCCTGATATCGCCTGTCGGTATTCCTCAAAGTTGTTTAGAATTAAATGTTTAGTGATGCTGTGACGCAACGCCTATATGTGCCTTTTTTCATGCACCCCTCACGTCCATCCCGCAGCACCGAAATTCATACGCTGATTTAATACCGGTACATACCAGTTACCAAGGTACCGGTGCTATAATGGCACCGGGTTTCGCTACCCAACCCTAGTACACACTGATCATGTCTACAGTTTATCTCCAGCGTGAATCCTCTGATGTTTTTTCAGGGTTCCTAATTGAGTAAACCTCTTACTGCAGTGTGAACACTTGTACGGTTTTTCTCCAGTGTGAATCCTCTGGTGCCGTTTCAATTCTGCAGCTGTAATAAAAGTCTTCTCACACTCCAAGCACACATACTCTTTTACACTAGTGTGAATCTTCATGTGGTTTTTAAGGTGTGATGAGTGGATGAAACTCTTCCCACACTGAGGGCATGTGAATGGTTTCTCTCCAGTGTGGATCCTCATGTGTAGATTAAGGGATGATGATTTGCTGAAAATCTTCCCACACTGAGGGCATGTGAATGGTTTCTCTCCAGTGTGGATCCTCATGTGTTGATGAAGGGATGTTGATAGGCTGAAACTCTTCCCACACTGCGTGCAAGTGAATGGTTTTTCTCCGGTATGGATCCTCATGTGTTTATTAAGGGATGATGAGCAGCTAAAACTCTTCCCACACTGAGTGCATGTGAAAGGTTTTTCTCCGGTGTGGATCTTCATGTGTCTATAAAGCGACGATGATTTGCTAAAACTCTTCCCACACTGAGGGCATGTTAATGGTTTCTCTCCAGTGTGGATCCTCATGTGTAGATTAAGGAATGATGAGTGGTTGAAACTCTTCCCACAATGAGTGCATGTGAATGGTTTTTCTCCGGTGTGGATCTTCATGTGTCTATAAAGCGATGATGATTTGCTAAAACTCTTCCCACACTGAGTGCATGTAAATGGTTTCTCTCCAGTGTGAATCCTCATGTGAGTCTTTAATTTGCTTTTGCTTGCCAAACTCTTGTCACACGGAGTGCAGGTAAAACAACTCTTGTCTCTCACTTTTAACACACAATCAGTCTCTAAATGAGTTTTGTCCTCAATTTTGACATGATGTTCCTCCTCTTTACTCTCCTCGTAGTCTTTAATTAGGTCTGAAATAAAAATAAGTTTACTTTTTAGTAAATCATTAAAACTCAGTGAAAAGGAAGTGAAAACATTGGCTACACAAATCTTAATTTTGATGCACATTAAATGTAAAGACATAGCAGATCATATTTAGATTGATCTTGTCATATTTACCTCCTGGAGTCCATTACACAGATACACATTTAAGCAGATTCTAATATGATTACTCCCAGATTAATTTTGGTTATATTGATGAGACAAAAATTTGAAAGCTGTAAATGGCCAGTTTCTATTTGTATATATTCGTAATCACAACAAAACAGTTTGTTTTTGTAAAACTTGTAAAGCAGATATGGAATGCTTTTTCATTCTGTGCCTGACTGGTAAACCTGTTAAAAAAAACAGCTGAATCTCTGCTAATATTTGCCTCATAGACATATGACACATGTATATTATCTGCATAAAGCTTTAAATCTGCACCTTTAAATGACAAATGTTCTAGAGGTATGTAATCTGTAACAAATGCAAAGCAGAAATCTAACACTTAACTGTTTCAGATCATCAAACAAATGTAAATATTAGTCAAAGATAACACAATTAAACACATTGTGCAGTTTTTAAATCAAGGTTTTTATTCTTAAATTGAAGACAAAATACTGATCTACACTGACTTGTGTGAAAAAAGAAATTCCCATTAGAACAATTTTAATTTATCACACCTGCTTCAAGTTCTCTAGCCACACCCAGACCTGATTACTACCACACACGTTCGCAATCAAGAAAACACCTAAATAGGACCTGTCTGACAAAGTGAAGTAGACCAAAAAAAGCCTCAAAGCTAGATATCATGCCAAAATCTAAAGACCTTTAAACACAAATAAGAAAGAAAATACTTGTGTCACGAGTTAAAAAAAAAAGACTGAGCTCAAATGCAAGTCTTTATTGAGAAGCGAGCCTTGGAAAAACCAAAAGTCAAAGTAAACACCAGGTCGGGTGAGCGCTGAGGAAGTGCCGTAGGAAAAAACAACCAGACACTCACTCACTGGTGGTCTTGGAAACATACAGGGTGAGTAACAAAATAATATGCACACAAATGATCGATAACATACTGACAAACATGAAGGGGAATGATGTGGTATAAACAGGAAAAAAGGGAAACGAGAGCTCCTGTGACTGCATATAAAACCAGATGACAAGAGATAATCTGTAATACAGATCAAAGCCCCTTTCACACAGTGATACCGGTAAATATGCAGAAAATTTCCGGAACGACTTTACCGGTATATTCAAAAAAGCGCTGTTCACACAGGTGAGGACGTTACGGAAATTTTCCAGAAAAGACCTTTCACAAATCCATTCCAAAATACCAGTAAATTCTGACATCATTCACCACAAATGAGCCTTAAACGGCTGCGCTTGTATTTGTAAACATTTTACTACATTACAAACTCTGTGGATGATCAATATTGTGAACAATACAGTATTGTGAACAGTTCTTCGAACAACTTCGAAGAAAACATATGGAGGATCACTTTGGCATGTCGAGATGTTCATAATATGTGCGTGTGCTGGCGCTCACAGGCTGTTTCACAGGCACACGCTAAGCGTGAAGGTAAACAAACAGCGGCTTATCATAAGCATCTCATCGATGATTATTTACACAGTTGGCATTAAGAAGAACATATAAACATTATCTGACTAACTTCTAACTAAATGCGTCTGACTGTTCTGATTGGCTAAAGCAGGTGTCTCACGTCAGCACGTTCTAGACGTGCACGCGTTCTTTCCGGCAATCTTCCTTCTGCATTCACACAGCGCAGCATTCCGGCATATTACCGGGAATGTTACAACTTCTCTTTCTGGAAAATAGCCAGAACGAATTTACCGGTATTTTCAAAAAGGATCTGTTCACACATACAACCTTTCCGGAAAATTGCCGGTAATTTTCCGGAAAGGTCTGCATTTTCCGGAAAGGTCTGAAAGGGGCTCAAGAGAAGAGAGCCAAAGAGTAAGGTATCAAAGGAGGATGTCACATCAAAGATTCAAGTGTTACCACTCAGTGGGTTATGTCACAAGACTTGCGTCACTTTATTGTGGCTTTGAGGCTCAATGGGATTCTAATTACTGGCCAAAGTTATATAAAATTACACTTTATTACAATATATATGTTGAATATAAATAATTATAATATGTATTATATAATATTAAATTAAATTACATGGGGGCCATGGGGGGTGGTTCGTTCAAACAACCCGAAACCCCCTGGCTACGGGCATGGCACAGTGATCTGTGTCATTACAAGGGCTTTTCCCACAGCTGGTGGAGAACACGAGAGTTCGGTTTGAGTTCAGTGTAGTGCATACATTTTCATTGTTTTCACTGTAAAATCCTCACTGCGTGCGCAGATTTAGGAGACATTTATGCAGAATGCATCTTTGCACCTAAAAACGTCAAACGCAGCACCAAGAACAGATTAAAACAGTTGTTATGTGAACTTGATGTAAAAAAGCCTGCAATGCTTGCACCGCCTGCAATGCTTGCAAATGATTGGTTAATATCAGCTGTCAATCACTCAGTCAATGCCTTCTGCCTTCAGATGATACAACTGCGAAAATGTGAAGCGCTGAAGATGAGAGAATGAAAATAACATACAGATTTACCTAAAGATATTAATAACGGCGCATCTTATTAGTGATCATGTGCTGAATGTTAATCCACCATTTACACTTTTCCAAGAGTGGATAAAAGACTTCTAGTTGCTTCAAGTCCACAGGTAACAGTGTTTGGCACTGAACCTACACATTTAAGTGCGAGAGGTATTGTATAACCCTTCATTTAATCCTCACGATGCTGTCAACCGTGCAAGCGGCAGCTATATGTAACATTTAACACAGCTCATGAAAAGACATAAGTAAGTTATAAAAAGAAAATAATAAGTTATATATCAATATAAATGTGGGGCGGGGCGATGGATCGTGATGCCGGCTAAGCATCGTGAAGTTTGTCGGCCATCAGCGATGGACAATGGCATCTAAAAAAATAATACAATTGATCAGCTACACTCAACATCATCTTCCGAAGAGCTTCATAAGAAAATACTTATTCTGCAAGCGGAATGACTCCTTGAGGATCTCCACATAAGATCACGCCAGATTCATTATGAACATGGTGAATGAGCTGGCAGGTTATTGTGTTACTAACTGAAAAAAATCCTCAGCAGCTGGTGTTATAGCAGCAGTTAGTAAGGATGATGGCAGTATTATTACTGATAAACAGGGTATTAGTGATCAATTTAAAAAACTTCTATAAAACTCTTTACAACTCTGAGGTAAACTAAATTGAACGTATTGAGAGCTTTTTTAATTATTAAGAATTACCATCCCTCTGTGATTCAGATCAGGTGACAAAAGAAGGGATTTTAACACCTTCTGAAATTGAAAATGCAATTAAAAAATTGAAAACCGGAAAAGCACCAGGCCCTGATGGTTTCCCGGCTGAGTTTTATAAGAAGTGTTTATAAGTAACACCCCTGTTGTGCAAGGTATTTGCTAAAGCTCTTGTTTCGGAATCCCTCCCCCCTTCATGACATCGGCTGTTATAACAGTACTTCTTCAAAATGGTAAGGATCCACTTAAATGTGAATCTTATCATCCGATCAGCTCACTCTGCTGTATAAAATCCTGGCTAAAGTGCTGGCAATTAGAGTGGAGTCAGTCATGAGAAAGATAATTCACCCAGATCAAACTGGTTTCATTGTTGGGAGACAGTTATCTTACAACCTTTGTTGCTTATTTAATATTACTTATTTACCTAAAATAATACCAAATCCAGAGGACTTAATTACTTTAGATGCCCATAAGGCATTTGAAAGAATAGAGTATATCTATTCATTTACAGTGCTTAAAAATTTGGTTTTGACCCTGGACCTAATGGCTCGTTTCCACTGACTGGTACAGTACGGTTCGGTTTGGGTCGGTATGGGTCACCTTTATCAGGCTTGCATTTCCACTACCAAGGGTACCCTTTTAGTTGACAAAGTTTCAGTCGACGTCATTTTCGCTCGAGAAAATGTCTACAATAAAGCTGCACAGGTCGTTCACATATCATATGAAAAGCACTTCTCATAAAACAGATGCTTTATACACATAAATACTTGTGTATAAATGTTTATTACTAACTTTTCTATGAACATTAGTTGCAGATCTACTGATCTCACAGATCTGCAGATCAATGACAGTGCGAAATACCCTACTGTAACGTCTGTAATTATATAAAGTAAATAAATAAATTAACATATAGGAAGACATACAGACCCTTACAGTCTCCGATATGTTAGCAACTACAGAAGAACTACACAAAGCAGACATTTCATCCTTAATTAGATTCAAAACAGCACAAAGTATAGCCTCCAGTCAGTGAAAACCTCTCATCTGTGTCTGTAATCTTCAGCAGCACATGAAGCCTCTGTTAGAGTCATTCCTTCATTCCCAGTTCATATTAGTCCAAAAGGTGATAATAAAGACTAAAACAAGGCAGTTTGTTCACGTTTGCTGAATAAATAACATGCTGCTTGGCTTCGCCTTTTTTCCGCGCTCCACTCCCACATTTGTCCTTTTCTTTCTGAATGTGTCACAGAATGTGTCCCGCGTTTGTCAGCTTCTCACAGGATCAGGTTTCCAAAGCTTGTCAATAATTAACCGCATGTTATTATTATCAGCTCAAGAAGTTTGTTATTTCAAATAGAGAGCGGCGAGCGTAAGGAAGAAAGCGAAACCACTCGGGCTTCAGACTGGCTCGTAAAAAACTACGCTGCACAGGGTAAATCTGCTCTTCTCCATGGCTTTGTGGCTGTTTATCAAGACGAC